TTGACTCGACTGGACTACGCACTGTGACTAGACTTGACTCGACTTTCTTGACTTAATGACTCGACTCGACTCCAGTAAAAAAAATCAGTGACTCGTTACAACTCTGGTATGATGAATGTTTATCATGTCTGGACTTGAAAGGATGCTTTTTTGTTCATGTGAAAACAAATGGTTCCACTGAAAATGGATGAGTTTCTGTTCTTAAAAATATTCACAACTTAACTGACCAATAAAATAGTTCTAACTCAACAAACGATGTAGCTCTAGTTGTATTTGCAGTGTTATTTTGTCTGATACAGGGAATGGCAAATATAAAAGGCTAAGGCCCCCCAAAAAAGTCTCCGGTTTCTGGTATGGAGCTTGCCCAAAAAGTGGTGCGGTGACGCGGCTTTTTTTTGTGTTTTTACCTGATTTTTTTGCTTCAAATGTGTGCTGATGACTGCAAATGGTGCCCGACTAAACTTAGTGCAAATATATGGGAGTCCAGAGAGGTCACATAAAGCTTATTCTCGACCATAACCTAATCTAAAAACACGTTAAAATTGTGCAGCAGCAGAATTCCAGTCAAACCAGTGAGTTTGGCGGTTTGAGACATCATCTTTCATTGAAAATTTTTTTTTCATTTTGCCGACGCGCATGGCTACGGCGACGCGCGCGCATACCAGAAACCGGAGACTTTTTGTTTTGTCCTAAAGGACCAATTTCATCTTTATGATTGGCAGATGGCAATTTTGTGGCGAATCAAGGATATTTCATCAGTCTAGTTTTTTATGAGGAAAAACTTGCAGAGGGTTAAGCATGAGTACCTTTTTTTATTAAAGCGAAAATACACTGGAATTGTCGTACAGCATGACTAGTTTAAATGAAGGCCGGTCCCATTCCTTTGAGACAGGGCATGTGTAACCGCTGGTAAGCATAAACAACTTAGCCACCATTGTCATTTTGAGTCAAAGCATCCATCACGGCAGAACTCCACTGGCGCCACAATTGTGCAAGTTAATAATACATGTATCATGGACATGTCATTAAAGTGAAAAGACACAGGAATTGGCGTAGAGCATGACTAGTTTAAATGAAAGCCGGTCCCGTTCCCATGAGGTTGGGGATGTGTGTAGCCGCAGCATGAACCTTGCTATTTGTTAAGGTTCAGTACAAAACGTTAGCAACGTGAATGAAACTTTAAAATGAAAAAAACAAAAAACCTTCCCGGGAAAAGTATTAACAATTGCCCCTAAATGTATTGAAAGATCGTAAACAACTTTGTCACCATTGTCATGGTCAAAGTCCATTGCTTTTGCGTCAAGCATCAAGCATGACATAACTCCCATGCCGCCACAATCGTTGCGTAAGTTCATAATCTCACGAACATGTCATGGTTCAGATAGTTTGAGAGAAATATCTTTTCTGCACTGCCTGAAGATTTCGAAAATACCACCTCTGTATTTTACAGTGTTTTTGCATTTATTTTTTTCAATACCGGGATACTGCGTCTTCAACCCGGAAGTTATAGGCCATCAGCCTCGGTCCAAAATTTGAACAAACGGTATCAAATGAGGGGAATAATCGTCATAGCGATTTTTGGCAAGGTATACACCTCCACAGAGTTGGAAAGTATGTGATAGCATTGCAGTGGTGGCAGCTTTTTAGGTGTTATCCTCTTTTTCCAAAATGTCCATCAAAATGCTTGTTACCACTCCAGGGGCGGTATACCTTGCGCATGCGCACTATAATCATTTATGCCCTGATTTGATACTGACCAAACCCCCAAGCTGATGACCTATTAGATGTTTCACACACAAAACATTATTATTTCAATATTTTCAGAAGTTCTTTTCTTTTCATGATGAACACAAGAACTAAACCGATATCATTTTAATTGATGATGTCATCAAACCTGACATAACGTGTGCGTGTAAATATACGGCCAAAAAAAAGAATAGTTCTGCTTCCGGTTACCCGACCGACCCTATTTTTAGGCTGCGACCCTAAAAATTTTATCTGCAATTCCAAAAAAAAAAAAAAAAAAAAAAAAAGGGAATAAATAAAAATAAAATCTTGTTGTCTTTCTGTCTTCACAAAATACCTCTCAACAACCCTTTTGCATCAAAAAATGCTTGTATTTATTTGTTTTCTTACTTACATTCGCTTTTTTTCAAAAGAAACCTACGTTATTTTTACAAATTCGCTTCGCGATATAACTACTTCGCAATTCGATGTCACGGTGACTTTAATCACATGGCGACGACTGGTTCCCACCGCGCCGTGCAGGGGCCAATTTGAAAATGAAAAATGCGGTAAATGGAAAAATGCGGTAACCAGTCCACAGCTATGCGACCGATAGCGCGCTAGTGCAGGCCACTGCCAACTGGTCGGATTCGACATCGTAAAAATGCCAAGAAAACACCGATGGAGAATGAACATTTTTGCAAGTTAATTTACAGAATTGATCTAGCTTGTCTGTGTATGTATTTTCTGTGTTCAAGAGTTCATTTTGAGATCGCACTGCTCGTATTTCGAGTTATACATGCCGCGTGTTTTCCGAAATTTTTGACCGTAAAAACAGGTCTGTCGGCCCATGGTGGGCCGCTCGCCACACACGCACGCATCACACACCTCGGAGTTTTGGCCAGCTCCCCGCGTCTTGACTAGCGTTGTGCATATGGTGCGAACGACCTGAATTTTCCATTTTTTTTTTAATTATCGAACGTAAATATATTGACAATAATTAAAGGTAGGTTTTATTCACTTTTTGTTGCCATTTCGTTTATAGCTTTCGTAGTGCAATGGAAATAGTTCAGGCTAAAACTTCGCATATAATTGAATACCCCATTCAATCTGCATAAAAAAAATTGGCAAAAAAAAAAAACGACCGACCGACCGACCCTATTTTTGAAAGGCATGTAATCGGAAGCAGAACTATTTTTTTTTTTGGCCTAATGCATACAGACACTCATCAAAACCCAACTGGTGCATTTTTTATACATTATTAAAATGGCTCTACTGCAAAGCCCGAATTTCATGATCATTTTTCTCTTTCTGTTCTGAATTCAAAATAAACTGGAGAGTCGCGTTTGTTGAGTTTGAAACGCTGAAATATCAGGCCAAAAAAAACCTATTTCATATACAGGGTTCGACCTTAACTTTTTTGTTCACTAGCCAGCCGGGCTACTGAAATGGACTCTGAACTAGCCTGCATGTTTTTCTGACCTCAAATACAAAATGGCGTATTTTCAGGCTCAATTCTGAGGCAATAATTTTTCCTTATAAAACAGTTGATTAAATCAGACACAAATTGATGGGGTTTTCTTTCTGAATTTAATGATTTATTTCTTCCTGTACATTCCTCTTTGCCGTATCCCAATAATTTTTGACTCGCCAGCCGGGCTACTTAAGGAATAGTTTGACTAGCCCGCCGCTGTTTTGACTAACATTTGGCTAGCGGGCTACCGCTAATTTGGAACCCTGATATAGGACGTTGCCAAAATGTGAATATTTGAAATCAGAACAGAAATAGGACTAATGTATTTTATCTCATATTTTTCAATTTTATTTTGGAAAAGGGATTGCATCATAATGTTTGACATTTTGTAAATTTTTTTGCATGTAAAGTTGCAGGTTTTTTGCCCTTCAATCTATCCTGAACTTTTTCAGGTTTAACTCATCATATAGGCCTTCTTTGTGAACTGGCGTCCGACAGAAAAAAATTTAGTCGTCGGCGATTGAATTTGCACATGCTACAGCTAAAAAAATGGAAGGAGATATGATAGTTTGTTCTCGACCTGGCATAGTTGCCAGGTCAAGAACAAACGTTCATGAGGACAACGTTGCAACTTGGGGACTGTTGAATAACTATTCCACAGAGTATGATAACTATTTACAAAATGGATCAACCCTTTCAGTCCTCAACACTTCATGGTTGATGTATGGTTGCCCATGGTTGATGTATGGGCGGCCAAACATATCAACATACCGACTTTCTGAAAAGTAGTGACTGTATCTGTGTTGAGGGTGTTTTGAGTGTGGTTTCCTGGTCGACTAAAGTTGCCCATGGGAACCAGCAGGGGGGGGGGGGGTAGTTCTTGTCGACAAAAGTCGCCCATGGTAAGGAAAGGGTAAAATTGCAGAGGCTTATTTCGTGCAACTCATCGTAACTTACGATGCATCGAAGCGCTTTGACACGTCGTATCCCTACGATGCCTGGCAGCTGCGACGCGTCCTGCCATCCGTTTCACAAAACACGTTGTATTTTAGGACGCGTCACAGGTGTATTTATAGCACAACTCGGTGACTATTTTATATAATGAATAAGTGTACAGTAAATAGTGGTCTGATATTCAACAAAACGTAATACCAAATGGTGGACGTGTGATGCATTTTTAAAGGAAAACAAGCTCTCAGTGGACTAAATAGCCACTTTGAAATTTCAACTGCAATATTCCAGGCTAATTCATAATTATTCAATGCATTTTCTGTTTACACACATTACACACATTACACACATTGTCTCAGTATTATAGTCTCGTTTATGTGTTCTTATGGCATAAAACTGGCTAAGAAAAGGACGCTTCAAATATATCAATAATGCCACAAATATATCAATAAAAAGCCTGAAACACTACTAAAAAAGCTGAAACTACCCTTACCCCCTTTCAAAAATGTGTTTTCTGGATGTTTCAGACCAAATCCAGCACTTTTAATTTGTCACACTTTTTGAAAAAAAACCTGAATTCAGGTTTAAACCTGAAAAGTGGCATCTCTGCACTAGACAAGTCGTAATGTGTGACGCGTTTTAAGCTGTTGTCAAGGAACTTTCGACGCGTTCAACACATTGAAAGTTTCGTTTAATGGATCATATGACGCGTCGCGAGTTGCAACGTGTAACACCCCGTAACTTGGGTTGCAACGTGTCACAGCGCTTTGTGAAATCGGGTGCTGATCACACTTCGCAACTTGATTCTTATTTTATGGTGAAGGGTCATTATTTGACACGACAAACTTACCTGCTGGCTACGTCAGTTGCAATCAAGATGGATCTGCTCTTCCCTTTAAATTTATTCAGCGTTCCTAACCTCTTGGACTAAAGGAGCAACCAAGAAAAAACAAAAAAAACAATACAATTGATGTCCATTCCATAACTTGCAATTCAGGCAGTTCACAATTTGGGCGATTCAACAATGAAGTTTTCTTAAACTGAAATGGACTACCCTCGTGAAAGATTGCAATGAGTGCGTTCGATAACTTCCCCCAGCTCACATGTGCCTGGCTCCTCAAGTGATGACAGACATGCGCAGTGGAGCTAAATAAACGAACGGTTTCGGGTAAAGTTTTGTGCAAGAGCTGGAAAGTTGCACTTTGATATGACACAGGCTGCGCATCCGAATCAACTGTCTAGAGCTAGATCTAGGTCCACGCCCATTGAAAATACGCGGGGACGCGCTGACAATAGACGAAGCCGTAGCTCTGGAAGCCCGTTTCGGACACGGCCGGCCTAAGGCACCCGCCAGACGTCACGTTGGCAGCCATGTCGATTGCATGGCCTTATGGGATACTTTAGTAACTGGCTCGGTGAGTCGGTTACTTGGGCGAAAATATTACAGTTTTTGCACTGGCTTCAAAGTTATGATGTGATTAGGGTTATGTACGACCAGGGACAGACATTTTGTGACAAATGTCCAGTCTGTTCGTACGTATAAATCCTGATTATAAAATATCAAATAATTCTTCACATTGACTCTGAGTTTTCTAGGTTTTGACTTGATAGCATTCCTCCAGGGTACATCTTCTTAAATAAGTCCACATTACGGGATCATTAAATTTTATGCTTACTTTGTGACTTTATCTCAAATGTCTGTCCTTCGTTACATACGTAACACTTTTTAAAACAATATCCACCATATTTCCTAAAATACAAAACCAGTTATATCATTTGCAGGTGAGGATATTTGTTTAAAGCTTGCAATGTTTACAGCAAAAATTGAGAGACCAAGATCGTAGTTTTATCATCAAAACTTAAAGGTCTTCTCAAATGTCACACTTTTGGGCCCATTTGTGTAGAATTGCCCACATACATGTACTTGTGATGGACTTGTGATAGACTTGCAATGACTTGTGATGGACTTGTGATGGACTTGTGATAGACTTGTGATAGACTTGTGATGGACTTGTGATAGACTTGCAATGACTTGTGATGGACTTGTGATGGACTTGCAATGACTTGTGATGGACTTGTGATGGACTTGTGAGGACTTGTGATGGACTTGCGATGGACTTGTGATGGACTTGTGAGGACTTGTGATAGACTTGCGATGGACTTGTGACGGACTTGTGATGGACTTGTGATGGACTGGTGATAGACTTGCGATGGACTTGTGATGGACTTGTGGTGGACTTGCAATGACTTGTGATGGACTTGTGATGGACTTGTGAGGACTTGTGATGGACTTGTGATGGACTTGTGATGACTTGTGATGGACTTGTGATGGACTTGTGATGGACTTGCAATGACTTGTGGTGGACTTGTGATGGACTTGTGATAGACTTGTGATAGCCTAGTGATGGACTTGTGACAGACTTGTGATGGACTTGTGATGGACTTGTGATGGACTTGTGAGGACTTGTGACAGACTTGTGATGAACTTGTGATGGACTCGTGATGGACTTGTGATGGACTTGTGATGGACTTGCAATGACTTGTGATGGACTTGTGATGGACTTGTGATAGACTTGTGATGGACTTGTGATGGACTTGTGATGGACTTGTGATGGACTTGTGATAGACTTGCAATGACTTGTGGTGGACTTGTGATGGACTTGTGATGGACTTGTGATAGACTTGTGATGGACTTGTGATGGACTTGTGATGGACTTGTGATGGACTTGTGAGGACTTGTGACAGACTTGTGATGAACTTGTGATGGACTTGTGATGGACTTGTGATGGACTTGTGATGGACTTGTGATAGACTTGCAATGACTTGTGATGGACTTGTGGTGGACTTGTGATGGCCTTGTGATGGACTTGTGATAGACTTGCAATGACTTGTGATGGACTTGTGGTGGACTTGTGATGGCCTTGTGATGGACTTGTGATTGATTGGCAATGATTTGTGATTGACATGTGATTGGCTGGCAATTGACTTGTGATGGTCTTAAGACACACCGTTGGAAAAGGCCTTTTTTCGATAATTTCTTCAAAATGACAGCTTGCCAGAAAGAGTAATTACACAGGCAGTTAGGTCCCTTTCTATCTTTCAACTAAGTATGTTTTTCAACAATAATTACTTATTGGATAGCTGCAAATGATGGACTCTGGCTTTAAGTTATGATTCAACATACCTGTGACATTTGCCCGTGCAATGGAATGGCCGTCATGCCCAGGTTGCGCAACATGAGCGCCACTCGCTGTGTGTTGTTGCATGTGCTGCAGAACACCATGAAGTTGTTGCCAGCCAACTCATTCAAGATGTACACTAAGTAGCAGTCCTAAAAATAAAAGAAACAATCCAAAAAAAAATGACAGGTATCTGGATGAAAATCAACGACACTTGTGTTTCACTGTGAAACAGAACATTTCAAGTAATTTGACAATCTATTCTAAAACAAGGCACTTCCTGGCTTTAAAAAAAATACATAAAAATTTAACTGTTAGGCCAAAAAAAAATTAAGTAGGACTCTGGTCAGCGCGCGCGTCGATTTTAATCATGCGCGTCGATCTTTTTTTTTCCAAAATGTTCCGCGGTAGCTCCAACAGCGCCCTCTATTTCCGCACCTCCTCAATTTTTTTTTACCAAAGAGCACCAAGGAATGGGAAATTGCACCAAGGCAAATGATCAAAAGCACCAAGGCAAATTATGGAGGACACCAATGTACATGAGGACACCAAAAAAGCAAAATATTACCCACCTTGTCTGTACAATCCAAGCTTGAAGAAAAAAAAAAAAGCAAAAAAAAAAAAAAGCCGCGTGGCCGCGTCAATTCCGGAACTTTGGTCTGACCAGAGACCGAATATTTTTTTTTTTGGCCTTACTCTACTCTTTACACCAGAGATGAAACTGGCATATGAAGAAAAAATCGGAAATAGGCTGAACAAAAATATATGTCCGAAATCTGGGCCGCGCTGCAGCTACACATGTACATGTAGGTATGTACAATACACTTCATGCCCAATTTCCTGACATCGCCTCCTGTTTTATTTTAGATCTAAATGAAAATTTACGTTGAGAACATTTTGCATTGTTCTCACAAAAATAAAATTCCTGAATTACGGTTAGAGTAAAAGACTCATCAACAAAGAACTAACAAAGAATTTCACTTCTTACTTGAGAAAGTCGAGGAAAAAAGTCAGAAAGACAAGAGGGCACCATTCATGATGCCACTCAATCATGTCCATGTTTGCTAAACTCGGGCAGCATCGGTTTTTTTCTTCAAACAACTGTCAATGAAGTGTATCACTTATGCTCTCTTCGCCATCCTCAAGATATTCATCAGGATTTTTAAAGCATTGCATTTTGTACAACTAAATCTGAAACGTCAGAAAATCACACAACATGTTGGAGTTCTTCCATTGGATTGTTCGTGTAGCTAACCATACCCGGCCAGCAATATCACACACGCACCACACTCTGTTTTTACCGTGTGACGCAGTGATTTTTTTTCCATGTCACAGGTCAATGTTTAGCCTTTTATCCAGCCTGAAAAGACTCCAATCAGTGTTGGCCTAGGTGTTTCTACCGCAGACACACTCCATTTACGACTGGTGAAAGAGATTAAAACTATGCTCGCGATAATTTTCATGTGCCACGGACTTACTCAAGTTGCGGACCTACGCACTATCAGACTTTCGTGAAATGTGTCTATAAGTGAACCATTGCGTAAGGTTTCGTGAAATCGGCTGCAGGTCGCAGCTTTTGTCGTCTTCAGTTTTGATAAGACTGTCTTTTACGGGTACCAGGGTACCCATGTTTTACTTCAATAGGGTGCCCAGTTCCCATACTATCGGTTATGTGTGCTTTCCAACTCATGCGGTGGCTGACCCGAGTGAGCTCCGAGAATGACGTCAGAGCTCATTGAACGGCACAGGGCTGACCCCTGTCGACCCGGGTGAGCTAAATGAACGCACCCAAAATGCGTTACAAGTCGCCAGAGGTACTTTTGAGGAATTGGCCTTTTTTGACACATTCTTACACAATTGAAAACAACACTAGCAACAATCAATATTTTCACCAGCATTGGGACTTTATTGATACATCACAAGGAATCACAAATTATCTGTGTCTGACTGTAAGTGAAAAACCTAAAAAGTGAAAATTGTCCTTAACCCCATGCGCTCGGGAAGCGGTCATGGCCGCGGCCGCTAATCCTCATTGGAATGCAGTTGCCAGCTGTGGTATGCCGTGGCACACGGCTAGTGGGTAGTTCCACAGCTGCTGCTTTTGTGCAGTCCCGCTACCACACAAAGGCTGTGCAGTCATGCGGGCCACTTGCTCTATGTGTGGAGGAATGTCCCCATTATAACCCGTGCTTAAGGGGTTAAGACTCATTTCGTGGGATCCGTTCACAATTGATTGATTTAACTGGCTTACCTTGTACTTGGCTGGTATGAAGACATAAAACTGCTGCAGTTTCTCCACCGTGTCATACTTGCTGGATACCTCCACCTTGACTGGCTCTTTCAATGATGCCCGTTGAAGTTTGGCAACCTGGGGAAAACGCAGGTCATAAGGTACATATGATCATTTGTCATTTGTGCATTTTTTTTTCATTCAAAATTACAAAACTGCTCAGTCTTTGGAAGGGTGGATAACAACTAACCTGAAGAATTTAAAGGTAGAGTATATTATTTGTCATTTTTGCATTTTTTTTTCCTTCGTTTGAAGCAACAAAAGTGCTCAAAATCTAAAGAAGGGTGCTTAACAACTAACCTGATGAAGTTTTAGCTCAGTGAATGCTGTATATTCCGAGAAAACAATATTCTAGGATCTTGATTTCAAATCGAAAGTTGCCGAGTCATGTTTTGAATTGCGCCCGAAATCAGACATGTTCTCATTCAGTCGATTGCAGCTATGCAATGTCACGGACTGAACCGACAAATAATGGTAACTGCGCGCGCCTGTGCGTCGTGTTAACGCTTGTGCGCGCACCCATTCAAGCCTTCGCCGAATTAAAATCAAACTACTAACGGAAATTTCCACAAATGCATCGCTTGACGCATCTTTGGAAATTGCCTTCTTTTATTGTTTTCTCCAAAATGACAGCATGCCAGAACGAATAATTTCACAGGGAGTTTGGTGCCATTACTATCTTTAAACAAAGTTATTTAACAATAATTTTGTCAGTCACTTTTTGGATAGCTGCAAATGATCTACATGTACTCTACCTTTAAGCTTAATTGATTATAACATTTTGAGAAAACAGCGAATGAGGGCGCTATTTTTTTAGTATATTGAAACCACATTCCATGATTGTTTTCTTCCAAATTCGGTGCTAACCTGGGCCCAATTTCACGGCGCTGCTAAGCACAAAAATTTGCTCAGCACAAAAAAAAGTCTGGTTTATAAAAGCAGGTTACCAGCCAAAACTCCATGTGATTTTCACGCTAAAGCATACAACAGCTCAATGCTAATCACGAGCAATATACATCACGTGGAGTTTTGGCTGGTGACCTGCTTTTATAAGCCATACTTTTTTGTGCCAAGCAAATTGTTTGTGCTTAGCAGCACCGTGAAATTGGTCCCTGATCTTCACTTTGAGCAACTGATCTTGACTTGAATGTAGAACATTTAAGCAATGAAAAGGCATTTCATGTGCACTGAATTGAGTATTTCAAAGAAACATGTGAGAATGGTTTTCAAATAGACAACCATGTTGGTGCTCAAAGAAACATGTTAAGAAATCACCAAAAATGGGCAAGGATCAGCTCAATTGATTTAACACCGTATTCTAATATTTGCAGTCTCAAACTCCACACTGTACACATTTGTTATTGAAAATCTGATTTTAAAACCATGACTATAGACCATTATCATGATGTGGCCATCTTGATTTTTTTCCCATTCAAATCAACATAACCAAAGCGAGGCTGGAAGGAAAAATAGTGTGGTTCCTTTCTGCACAAAAAACATTATCATTCCGTACTGTTATTGGATACGGGGAACATGACTGAAATGATAGCAGCATGAAAAAGGTCTATTGGCCTAGTTTTGCAGTACCTTTTTAGTCATAGTTGCAGAGTAGAGATACGTGTGCCTCTCCTTGGGAATGACTTTCAGGATCTTATCGAGCTCGGCTTCAAAATCCATATTCAAGATGCGATCAGCCTCATCCATTACCTGCAAAAAAACAAAAAAACAAACTTCTCAACATTTCGTTGTGTCCGTGCAACAAGGTCGTATCTCCTAAAATGGCGTGCGACGTCATGTACGTGAAATGCGAGTTTTGAGTATCAAAAGGTCGTATCTCGCTTAAAATAACCCGGATGTACACACAAAGTCAAAGGACGTTGCGATATGCGAGATACAACCATGTTGCACGGAGCGTATTCGCGCAAGATACAACTTTTTTGCAGAATCGAAAACGACCTAGTTGCACTGATGCGACGATTTCATCTTCTACACTATTCACAAACAGGATTTGGGCTCGAAGTAAACTTGGTAAGACAAGAGTGGTATGCTCTCACAGTTCTAAGTTCCGAAGAACACTGAAATCGAACTCACCAAGTATTTTAAAGCTCGAAGGCTGAAACCTTTGGTGTTTTCCAAGTGATCAACAAGACGGCCCGGGGTAGCTAAGGAAGAAACCAACAAAATAAAGCAAAACTTCATGACAACATCAATTATCCTCGAATATGTTAATCATCCACTCACATGCATGGCTGGAAAGTTAAGTCTACGTGCTATCCATGCGCTTTTGTTCCACGGGTATACACAGTCCTTCCGATTTGAGGCGTGCCATCGCACCCCCATGCCATCGCACGCCTAGTAAAAGCTTCCCAAGAATTGGGAATAATCGCATGCCTGAATCCCTCTGCACCGCACACCTCGGCATACATTTACAATTTTAATATAAAATTTGGTAGGAAATGGGCAATAAATAACTCCTTACCCCTTTCTGTGAGCTCTTGAAATGGTTTTACCAAGATGAATATTATAAAAAAAAATACCAGATTGTTCAGTGCCAGCTTCCAACACAGAATCACACGCCTAGAAAAATTACACGCCTAGAAAAATCACACGCCTAGAAAAATCACACGCCTAGAAAAATCACACGCCTAGAAAAATCACACGCCTAGAAAAATCCAGGTGTGCCCTTTTCCACACGCCTGTGATATTCCAATCGGAAGGACTGTGTATCCGCTCCGTTCACAAGTACCCCCTCACCGGCAAAGGAAGTACAGTTGGGGGTGCGCGGCCACTGCGTGTACATAGAACAAATCCCCTGGTGTACGCGCGTCACACACAAGGAATGGTGCGCGTCTACCAGCGAAACGTACCGCCCATGGGACGTCGTTGCTAGGTAAAAGGGCGCCCTCTTTTGGTAGCGCATGGAGCTCATACACTTGGATTAACCTTTCAGTGCATTCACTGTTACAGCATTAAAACAACAACGAAACCACCTCAATGGTGTCTGCTGAATGCCAACGGTCCATGTAAGATTCAAATGAGGTACATGTACTAGAAAATCTGAGTTACCATTTTAGGGCCCCTCTCAATTCAATACACACACACTTAAAGTACGGGGTGAGTAAAAAAAAAAAACACGAAACCCAAATGTCAGGACCATTGTTTTAGTGAAGTTCTGCAAGTAGCACTTTGAAAATCTAGGATATAAAAGCCCAATTCATAAGCTTGCTTTCAGTACAAGAATCATTCAAATCACTCATGTAATTTTCAAGTTATACAATTTCAAACACAACCACCATTGAAAAAATCTGTCCACAGATCACAAAAAGGTAAGTGTTCTTTCAGCAAACAAAAACAAATCACACGGGGATGTGTGTGAATTGTTTTCGTTTTGCTGAAATAACCACACACCTTCTTTTGTTATCCGTGGACAGAACTTTAAAACGGCGGTTGTGTTTAAAATTCCGTAACTTGAAAAGTACTTGAGTGATTTCAATGATTCTTGTACTAAAAGAAAGCTTGTGAATTGGGCTTTCATATCCTAGATTTAGAGAGTGCTACATGCAGAACTTCACGAAAACAACAGTCCCGACATTTGGGTTTCATATTTTTTTTAACGCACCCCGTACAATTACACTTGAACAACAGAAAAGTAAAGACACAGGTAATTAGGGCCCGTGTCAATTTTAATCCGGCAAGATTTTTTGACAAGTTGCGGACATGTAAGTTGCAGGATTCTGAACAACTTCCCCTGCAATCTTCCCGCAATGAAGTCATCAGTATCGGTGAGTCAAGCAGTTGCAAGTGAAAATATCTCGGAACATGTTCGGGACAAATGCAGAGCTTCTTCCGGACGAAGCGACTGATTTTATCCAGAAGTTGTCCCTGCTATTTTAATTGAGACCGGCCCCTAACATCTCTAACAGAGTAAAAAGAGCAATATACATTTTGTAAACCCTGGTATTTTGCGTAAACTTTCACACTGCCCAGGATAACTGTTTGTTTTCAATGCAAAAGAGCCGAAGACGCAAAAGGCCCAAAATCCTTGTTTTATTGTCTCAAAAAGAATAGTACCCACTGAACTTAAGCTTAAATTTATTTTCTTTACACCTATAGGATTTGGAGTGCTATTGATGACCGTATCAGTTGAAAAGGAAAAATAAGAAATGCAGGTGATTTCATTGGCCTTTAAAGGGAATGTACATCATTGGCTTTTGCTGTAATTTTCAGAAATGAACTATTTGAGGGGTTAGTATAATTGATCAAATATTGTTACACTGACATTTTTAAAGTTTTGTGTTAGAAAAAGTTTGAAAAACCAAGAAAAACAAAAATGTTCAAGTAGTCTGGTTCCCTGACTCCACAAAAGATAAAATGGCTCAATTTATAGATGACGGAAAATTGTAAGGCAAGGGAACCAGTCTAGCTGGCCTGCACCCGTTCATGAACATGTAACCAATAGCAAACAAAATTTGGACTGAAAAATGGTTAATTTGGAGCAGTAGTTGAAAAATAGTTAGGTTTTTCCAACGCTGGTCGGCCGACCACCGTTGGAAATGTATACAAAAATACCATTTTCTTGAAAATGACTTCACATCAGGTGCCATAATTTTACAAGATGCTTGAGACTGTCATTTACCAACATTCTAGTGAGGTATTTCGTAAAAACTTGGTAGTTTTATTTTTCGATGTTTGCAAATGTTGTATATTCCCTTTAATTGTAATGTTTTATTTCAAAGGTACATGAAAATGAAGTGAAGTTCGGACCTACCTACTATGACATGTGGCTTCTTGGCCAGTTGTAGAGCTTGCGTCATCATGTCAATGCCTCCAATAACCACAGCTGCAATCAGTCCAAAAAAACAATTTAGTTTTAAAGGTAGAGTATATCATTTGTCATTTGTGCATTTTGTTTGCTTGAAGCAACAAAAGTGCTAAAAATCTAAAGACGGGTGCTTAACCCCATGCGTACGGGAAGCGGTCATTGCCGCGGCCGCTAATCCTCATTGGAATGCAGTTGCCAGCTGTGGTATGCCGTGGCACACGGCTAGTGGGTAGTTCCACAGCTGCTGCTTTTGTGCAGTCCCGCTACCACACAAAGGCTGTGCAGTCATGCGGGCCACTTGCTCTATGTGTGGAGGAATGTCCCCATTACACCCCGTCCTTAAGGGGTTAACAACTAACCTGATGAAGTCTTAGCTTTGTGAATGCCGTACATTCTGAGAAAACAATATTCTAAGATCTCGGTTTCAACTCCAAAGTTGCAGTGTCATGTTTTGAATTGCGCCCCAAATCATTTTTGGTCCTTATCGTACCGCAAGTGACACCTATGCCGGATCCCAGCGCTTCAAACTGCTCCGATATCTGGAAGGCGAGTTCCCGCGTTGGCGTGAGCACTAAGGCAAAGAGTCTCTGGGGTCTCTCCAGCAAGGCTTGCAGGATTGGGATGGCGAAGGCCCCGGTCTTACCGGAACCTGTCTCCGCCAAGCCAATGATATCACGCCCTGTAATTTCAAACAATAATAATAATACATGTAATAGTGGATATTTACAAAGCGCACGTATCCACCAGGACTGGTGCTCAAGGCGCTACATCATTATTACCCCTGCTCATTGGGCACATCATGAAACATTCCAAATACCATCTCAGCTCCCTGGGGAGTACACAGCTCGATGCAGCCTGTTAGCGGCAAGGAAGCTAATTCAATCACAATACCCATCTCTGCCCTCACAGGTACCCATTTACTCCTGGGTGGAGAGAAGCAATGAGTGACAATGTGCCTTGCCCAAGGGCACACGCACCAAACAGAAAATCTATTACATCAAGTCGTGGTGATCAAAAACTGCGTAGGCAACTTAGCAGAAAAATTTACACCCTGCAAATAAACTATGAAAGGGCACAGATACTTTTTCAATTTTGTTTTCTGTTTGCAAAGGGCTAGCTACTATATCTGGGTCATTCTATGAGTTGAGCGTCCAAAGTGGGACACTTTTTTTTCTCTCTGTGTTGCCTTGTTACTTTGTAATTTAATAAATAATAATAATACTAATAATTATTAATGCTTTATTTATTATTAATTTGACAATTCAAGTATCATTAAGAATGACTTCAATTTATTTTTTTTGTATTCGGTAGGTAGTTAGCTATTCACAATCACTCTTTGACTGTATTAACACAACCTTCCAAAATCCTCAAAAATCCTCTCTGCAAAATGTGTCCAGGTCTAAGGCCTGAACCTTGTGTTGTTTTTGCTCAGCCGTGCATAAATATAGGCTTAGATTATACTTGGAATCCTCCGCACTGCTCCAGGATGTCACTGGCTCAGCCTCAAAGTATTCCCAGTGATTGCTGGAGGATTTTGCAGGATGGAGGCAGTGGTCGCCCCTCCATGGCCGACTTCAAGAAATAACGGATGATTTTAAAGGATTGAAGCTGTGTGCTATTTTTTACTTGGAGGCAGTTGGAGGATATCGCAGGATTGAGGTTGCATCCCAGCAAAAATGCCTAGGTACTACTTGGTTCTTGGTTGGTGGTCCTCCGAAATATTCCACCCAGGGAATTTAAACCGGAGGTGTGGCACCAGGGTTTATAAGGTGCTGCGGCCACTGCCAGAAACACTGGGACAAACCCCTTCTCTTAGCGACAAGTGTTACTGGGTTCTTTAACGTGCATTACACAACACACGGGACCTACGGCTTTACGTCTCATCCGAAGGACGAAGCAATAGTGGTAAAGTGCCTTGCTCAAGAACACAAGCCCCCTGTTCCCACGGCCACCATTAGACCACAGTACCCCACAGGGAGTCAGGGTCAAGGAGTGTATCAGATCTATAAGCTCACAGCTGAGAAAAATAACAGGGACAGGGAAGAAACCTTTTTAAAACTATAATGAAACCAACCTTTCAGACTGAGTGGAAGAGACTCTCGCTGTATTTTGGTTGGGGTCTTCCATTTCAGACGTTCACATGCTTCACACAGCACATCTACTACGCCCTGCAAAGAAAACAGGTGTCAAAACATTAGCACCAACATATATATCCTTGTCATGTGTGCGAATCCACTGCCTTGTTGCGAGTTGGTCATTATGACTGTGTGTGCGCATGCATCGATGTTAGATACTTTCTCTGATATTCGTCTCTCAGAGATCACCATATCCAAAACAATTTCCCCCTTCGTATACTGCACTGACTGCACTCCATTGTATCCTTTGACTTACTTCATCGAGATTCGAACCTCGGACTCTTACTTGAAACACGAGACTCTTAACCGCTAGGCCGCGCACGACCGCTGTTGCAATAACGACCGCTGTTGCAATAATCAATCTTTGAACGTGTTTGAAGTAGCCATTGAAATAAACTAAATATTCATGAGAAATAAATATTCATAATGACGTATTGCACTATCATTGGCCGGCTCATGCGACGTCATGGTTGTCGATGTCATGCGTCATGCGTACCGCTGTCTGTCAGCCACACTTCAATCAGTTTTGACCGGCTGCTTCAACTTCGTTCCGCACGACGTGTGCATACAAAATGGGCTCTAAAAACACATTTTGCCTAATTTTTTTTGCATTAACACAGCTTCCTGGATTCCTCTTGGGTGAAATCACAAGGTGAGGTGAAAATTGATGTGTTTAGCGGCAGGTAAAGTCGTGGCCCAGTATGGAATTTTTCCCACAGTGTCATTTAGAGTTGTATTGGTATTGGTATTTATTTTCCAATGAATTTGTGGACTTTTTTGGTGTTTTTTTACTACATTTTTCAAAAATAAAAAATAATAAAAAAATCCAGGCGGCCTCCAAAAAGGAAGCGGGCGGGGACGAGAAACTTGTTTTTTTTTACTTCGCCTAAAGCTGAAATTTCACACCCCTGATAATGATATGAAGAAAAAAGTGGCGTCAGGTTTTCCCAACTTTTCTCTTCATATATCATATCAATGAAGGTCAGTCATTGTGTTGCAACGAAATTGGGAATCCGCCGAAACTATAGTATATAATAACCACCCCAATCGTCAAATTTGTAAGTTTCGTTACCGTATTTATTTGGTAGTGGATATTTTGCCGGAGGTAACGCCAGCAAACTAACGTTTACTAATGGTTTGCCGGCGGCAATCCATATCAACAGAGGGCGCTGTACTCTTTAAGATAGAGCTGAATTATAACATGTATTAAATTCCAACCAAAGTTGTGTAGCACAGTCGGTGCAGTGGTTAAGCAATGGCTCTCGGGATGTCCCGAGTTCGAATCCTGATCCCCGCCAGAATTTTAAGGTTTTTTTTTCCCATCCCCAAATAAATAAGAATATTCTTCTTTTATTATTTTAACATGTCTCAAACATTTTATTGCAGAGTATTACTTTTTCTTTTTCAGATTTGTGGCTCTGGAGGATTTTTTTTTAAAGGGAAATAAAGTCCGAAATTATAAAATGGTCTGATTCCCATCTTGTGAATACAAAAATACAATGATAATATTGGCATGGAGCCAGACTAAAATGTTTAAGTGCAAAAAAACAGTAACTGCGCATGTTCAGTGCATATCCGGCAAACTAACATTTACTGAAGGTTTGCTGTCTCCAGCAAAATATCCACTGCCTATTTATTTATCATGTGCTTAGTTACAGGCTTAGGTTGCAACATTTTTTTCAAAAGTGGCGTCAGGTTGCAACATTTTTTTCCGTACCTTTTTTCTTTGTTGGTGTTTTGAAGAAATGGTAATCCTTACTTTTAGGACCCCGTTCCTATATAGGAAGGGAAAGACTCACCAAAACAGTTGACTAAATGACACTCAAAATTGACATTCTGACATTCCTTGATACATCTGAACAATTGGCAATGACATCTTCTTGAATATCAGCACGTTTATTTTTGTGGAAAGAGGGCAGGGCTTTGATTTATGAGGGAAATTAAGGGGTAAAAGATGACGATGACAACCAGAAAACAGACTCAAAAACCAAGATGGCAAACGTGAAAGCTTGATGCAATGAAAGCTCGATGCTGATTGGCTGATAAAAAATAATCATCTAATTAATTTTTTTTAGCAGCCAATCAGCATCGGGCTTTCATTAGGTAGGGCTTTCACGCGTGTGAGAACTACAACATGCATGTCTGACTGCAAAACAAGGTAGGAAAGTCGAATTTTCTTTGAAAGTGCTTTCAAAATTACAACTAACATGAGTTTATATGAAGCAAAAAGACTGCTTTAGCCTGCAAAAGTCACTTTGGTACTGGACAGTCATCTGCAAAAGTCAGTTTTGAACAGAACTTGTAAAAAATAGAGCTTAGGTTAGAGGTGTCCTAAAGATAAGGATTACCAAAGAAATAAACAATGCTGTGGGGTAAGTCGTGGAGCAACTATAGAATGCAGGGCCACGCCGGAGCAAGGTTTTTTAATTTGCCTGGAGGCGTGGATGGATAGGAGTAATAGATATGCAAACCTGCAAAAAGTGCTAAGTACAGCGAATGCACTTGTCTTCTAAGCTTCTCATGAAGGATCGGAAGGGAGGGCGTGCTTGTAAACGTGTTGGGGGCACGGTACGGATCGGAGTGGCGGAGGCGCGGAGTCTGGGAGTCGCAGAGTCTAGTTGCGGAGACGCGGGGCACTGGAGTGGCGGAGGCGCAGAGTCGCGGAGTCGCAGAGACGCGCGCCGATAGAGGGCGCAATTCTCGGGGGAATTTTTTTGAGAACGAAGCATCCGTATCCATTTTAAATGGGCTCGCAAATTAGGAAGGGAGGAGGGCAACGGGGCACTGTCTGGAGTGGCGGAGGCGCGGAGTCTGGGAGTCGCAGAGTCTAGTCGCGGAGACGCAGGGCACTGGAGTGGCGGAGGCGCGGAGTCGCGGAGTCGCAGAGACTCGCGCCGATAGAGGGCGCGATTGTCGGGGGAATTTTTTTGAGAACGAAGCATCCGTATCCATTTTAAATGGGCTCGCAAATTAGGAAGGGAGGAGGGCGACGGGGCACTGTCTGGAGTGGCGGAGGCGCGGAGTCTGGGAGTCGCAGAGTCTAGTCGCGGAGACGCGGGGCACTGGAGTGGCGGAGGCGCGGAGTCGCGGAGTCACAGAGACGCGCACCGATAGAGGGCGCAATTCTCGGAGATATCGACTGAGCTGCGGCTCCACGACTCCACGATCGATTTTCGGAGGTAGGTCGACTGCGGCTCCACGCCTCCACGCAGCCGTACGGAGGCGTGGATGTAGAGTAAAGTGGCCCTGCATTCTATAGTTTTACCTAAGTCGTCTATGGGGCCGGCTCCGCTACTCGCTAGGGGTACGGTACGGCTCTAGTACTAGTGCGTGGCAACTTCGAATGTCCGGAAACTAGGCCACACGATACTTCATGACAACTTGAAGTATAATCATTATTAATAACAAAACTTTTTATAGCAAAGACAGAATAACGTTTTCCTTACTAGTGATGCAAAGGTGCTCTCTTCTTCAGTTTCTGTGTGGTCCTCCTCGTCAACTTTCGTTTCACTCGTTTCACTCGTTTTACTCTTGGGGGCTGCCATTTTGGATTTTAATATTGCGCAAGAAACGGCGTGGATTTTCCAACAGAGGGCGCGCTACACAAATAGCGGTCACTACTGTAAAAAAATTCAAAGCCAATCACGATCTGCCAGGGTTCTGATTGAACAAAAATAAAGCCATTCTTTGTGGAGATGATAACTCACGAAAAAAAATTGCAAAAAACATATTGCGCTGAATCGAAATTACGCCCACTGTTTAGTCATGATATATGACACGACAGGTTTAGAAATTGACGGCAAAAAAAACCATATTAATCTCGAAAATCCAAATTCAAGTCTCCTTTAATTGAACAAAAATAAAAATAAAACACTCTTTGTGGAGACGATAACTCTCGAAAAGACACTGCATTGAATTGAAATTTCGTCCAATGATTGGTCGTGTTATAATATGACAGGTTCAAATATTGATGGCAACTGTTGAAGAATAAATTTAATATGATTTTTAAAAAATACTGATGCTAATCACGAAAATTTCAATCCGAATTCAAGTCACTTTAAACTGAACAAAAATAAAACACTCTTTGTGGAGACGATATACTCTCGAAAAACACATTGCATTGAGTTGAAATTTCGTCCAATGATTGGTCGTGTTATATAGCACGATAGCTTTAAAAAAAAACAATAGCACAATAACTGTTAAAAAAAACCCAAATTAATACAACAAAAACAAAAACTATAAAGGCAATCAATTTTGCTAACAGCAATTTCTTCCAAAAGAGGGCGCGCTTCACAAATAGTGGTCACCACCGTGAAAACGTTTGTCAACGCGGATCGCGATCAGTGCAATGTGTTTTTTCGTGAGCTGTCCCCATAAAAGTATGTTTATTTTTGTTCAGTTATTGGACCCAATTTTAATTCAATGTAATTTGGTTTTCTTGAGTTATCATCTCCACAAAGAGTGCTTTATTCATGTTCAATTAAAAAGTGACTTGAAGTTGAATTCAGATTGAATTTTCCGCGATTTGTACACTGTATTTCTTTAAATCATATTAAATTTATTCTTCAATTGTTCTCGTCGATCTCGAACAATTATTGGACGAAATTTCAATTCAGTGCAATGTGTTTTTCTTGAGTTATCATCTCCACAAACTGTGTGCTATTTTTGTTCACTTTAATGCCGACTTCGTTTGGGCAGATCGTGATCCGCGTTGCTTTACGGTGATGACCACTATTTGTGTAGCGCGCCCTCTATTGGAAGAGATTGATGTTGGTAAAATGTACGGGAGTGCCCTTACACACTGAAGTTTTTTATTTTGGTGTGTTCATTTTTTTACTTCAACGGTCAATTATAGGACGCAATTTGAATTCAATGCAATTTGGTTTTCTTGATTTATCGTCTCCACAAAGAGTGCTTTATTCATGTTCAATTAAAAAGTGACTTGAATTCAGATTGAATTTTTCGCGATTTGTACACTGTATTCCTTTAAATCATATTACATTTATTCTTCAAGTGTTCTCGTCGATTTTCAAACTGGATGTGTCCCATATCTTGAACAAATATTGGACGAAATTTCAATTCAGTGCAATGTGTTTTTCTTGATTTATCGTCTCCACAAAGAGTGCCTTATTCGAGTTCAATTAAAAAGTGACTTGAATTCAGATTGAATTTTTCGCGATATGTACACTGGTTTTCTTTAAATCATATTAAATTTATTCTTCAAGTGTTCTCGTCGATTTTCAAACTGGTTGTGCCCCATATCTCGAGCAATTATTGGACGAAATTTCAATTCAGTGCAATGTGTTTTTCTTGAGTTATCTCCACAAACTGTGTGCTATTTTTGTTCACTTAATGCCGACTTCGTTTGGGCAGATCGTGATCCGCGTTGCTTTACGGTGGTGGTGACCACTATTTGTGTAGCGCGCCCTCTATTGGAAGAGATTGATGTTGGTAAAATGTACGGGAGTGCCCTTACACACTGTAGTTTTTGTTTTTGTTGTGTTCATTGTTTTCTTCAACGGTTTTTGTTGATTTTTCAAACATTTCATGGCCCATATCTTGACCAATTATTGGACGCAATATTAATTCAATGCAATTTGGTTTTCTTGATTTATCGTCTCCACAAAGAGTGCTTTATTCATGTTCAATTAAAAAGTGACTTGAATTCAGATTGAATTTTTCGCGATTTATACACTGTACTTCTTTAAATCATATTAAATTTATTCTTCAAGTGTTCTCGTCGATTTTCAAACTGGTTGTGTCCCATATCTCGTACAATTATTGGACGAAACTTCAATTCAGTGCAATGTGTTTTTCTTGAGTTATCATCTCCACAAACTGTGTGTTATTTTTGTTCACTTAATGCATGCCAACTTCGTTTGCGCAGATCGTGATCCGCGTTGCTTTACGGTGGTGACCACTATTTGTGTAGCGCGCCCTCTATTGGAAGAAATTGATGTTGGTAAAATGTACGGGAGTGCCCTTACACACTGTAGTTTTTGTTTTTGTTGTGTTCATTTTTTTCTTCAACGGTTTTTGTTGATTTTTTTAACTAATGTGTCGTACATCACGATCAATTATAGGGCGCAATTTGAATTCAATGCAACTTGGTTCTTGATTGATCGTCTCCACAAAGAGTGCTTTATTCATGTTCAATTAAAAAGTGACTTGAATTCAGATTGATTTTTTTTGCGATTTGTACACTGTATTCCTTTAAATCACATTAAATTTATTCTGCAATGGTTCCCGTCGATTTTCAAACATTTTATGGCCCATATCTTGACCATTTATTGGACAGAATTTCAATTCAATGCATTTATGTTTTCTTGATTTATCGTCTCCACAACGAGTGCTTTATTCATGTTCAATTAAAAAGTGACTTGAATTTTTCGCGATTTGTTCATTGTATTTCTTTAAATCATATTTAATTCATTAAGTACATATTAAGTACAAGTGTTCTCGTCGATTTTCAAACTGGTCGTGTCCCATATCTCGAACAATTATTGGACGAAATTTCAATTTGGTGCAACAGTGTGTTTTTCTTGAGTTATCATCTCCACAGACCACAATGTGCGTGTTTTATTTTTGTTTCGGTTTCTGTTGATTTTCAAATTTGTTGTGTCGTATATTACGATCAATTACTGGACGCAATTTCAATTCAATGCAATGTGTTTTTCTTGAGTAATCGTCTTCACAATGCGTGTTTTATTTTTCTTCATCACTTAAGCCGACTTCGTTTGGGCAGATCGTGATCCGCGTTGACAGAAGTAGTCTTTACGGTGTATTGACCAGTATCTGTGCTGTATTACTAGCACACTGCCGAAAAAAATGGTCCGGTGTCATATGAAAATCGGACTCGTGTGAAAATCGGACTCTTTTCCCCTTTTTATTGGTTAAACCCTCTCACGTGACCAGTCCCTCTCCTAATTATCGATGCATGAGCATGTGCAATACTACCAATGAGTCCGCAGTTCATAAAACCTAAATTCTTGCTACACCGGCAATCATGCTACACGAAACCCCAAGCGTCTGGGGTTTTGTGCACAAACCTATAGGCCTATCAGTCGGCCTATCACACTCAAATGACTCAATCACAAAGAATAAGTTGGACCAACATTTGTATTCGGTTGTATTTTTTGTTCACGCTATATCTGTGAATACAAATTGTATTCACTTGTATTTTTTGTTCATGTCTTCGACAATGTGTTTTTCTCAGCTTTGAGCTCTAATCAGGCCTCCACAGTAAACCACACCACGCAATTAACGTTCCGCGCCTTAGCTATCAAAATGCCAACAGACATTAATGCGTAGTAATTTTCAGCTCCAAAAATACAACAAATGAAAATATCGAATGAATATGAAGGCATATCCATGTCTATAAATATATACGTGTATATATCTTTTTTGTTTTGTATACATGTAGTTAGGCTTTATGGTTCCCAATTACACTCTAATAATCTTCCCGTGCTAGTAAGACCAAAATGCGAAGCACGTTCATTATTTTCAAATTTTACATTGGATATTTTTTATTGGATATGACGCAGAACGTGCTTCGTACAAAAGATCTCAGTTTTGCCCCCCGATGTTTTCTATCATATCCGGTGGTCAGCATCCTCGTCTTATACTGTAGCTTTTAAATAAGGAAGGGGGGGGGGGGTACGGATTCTTGCCTTCGTATCTGTCTTCGGCTGGAAGATGGAAGGGGGGGGGGTGTACGGACTCTTGGCTTCGTCTCTGTCTTCAGCCGGAGGACCCATCTGCAAGGTTTCAGTCCCCTGACTTGACAGGTCCTTTTTCTGCTTTTTAAAAATAGTGGTTGTGAGGTGGTGCCTTTTTCTGGTACTACAGAGCAGGATAGGCAAAGAAAACGGCTGCATCTGTAAATATTAATGCGCCTATCAAATGCTTCCCCCACCCCTCCCCCACCCCTCCCCCACCCCCCGCGCTGCCCCAGGTCCGATGTCGGGATTTGGTCACGTTTTTCATGCCCCAGGGTGGGGATTTTGGTCACTCAAATTACATTGTTAACATTGGCGTACTAATGGAAAGGCAATCACTAGTGCGCCCCACGTGTATGTATATGTCGGGGTGTAGCATGAATTTAGGTTTTATGAAATACGGACTCATTGGTGGTATTGCGCATGCTCATGCATAGATAATTAGGAGAGGGACCGGTCACGTGAGAGGGTTTAACCAATAAAACGGAAAAAGAGTCCGATTTTCATACGAGTCCGATTTTCAAATGACACAGGGCATGGTCGGGGATTGTCACTTAAATTTTGCCCGAGGGGTGGGGATTTTGTCACTTCAAAAGTGACAATCCCCACGTCTTGGGTGGGGCAGCCCGGGGGAGGGGTGGGGGAAACAATTGATAGGCGCATAAATAACAGGGTGTTTTAACCATGCATTTTCCCGTGAATAAGCTTATGTGGATTTCACATGGCACAACTTGCTTTTAGTGGGGCAGATAGGGGAAATATTCGGGGGTTGTGCCTTTGACGATACAAGCATGGAATTTGGCAAGAAAGATATTTGGCTGTAGGGCTATCGCAGATTTATCCGTTAAAGAAAAAAAGTAGAATGAGGCCAAAAAAAGTTGGTCTCAGGTCACCGCGCGCGTCGATTTTGATCATGCGGGTCAATCTTTTCCCCCTCAAATTTTCCGCGGTAGCTACAACAGCGCCCTCTATTGCCTCAAATGTTCGTACCAAGGAGCTCCAAAGAATGGGGATTGGCACCAAGACAAACTGATGGAGGGCACCAAGGTATGAGGACACACAAAAGCAAAACAGTACCCACCTTGTCTGTACAATCCAAGCGTGAAAAACAAAAACCCGCATCGCCTCATCAATTTCGAAACTTTGGTCCGACCAAAGACTTTATTTTTTTGGCCTATATTTAAAATTTCCAATATGGCTGCCATTGCTTGTTATTCCACCTATGTTTTTTTCAAAGGACAAATGGCCCTTTAGCAATGGCCCTTTAGCAATGGCCCTTTAGCCAAATATCTTTCTCATGACACAATATCTGACAGTATGCCAAATGCCATGCCGTACCATTTTTTACTATGCCAATCTAATCGAAAACATTCTAACTGTCGGAAATCCACCTTCATCATAGGCCTAATCATTCCCCAATTTTACGAATGCGCTTTAGGGTTGCAGGCCAGTAAATCGGTCCAAAATCGCCTACGCCGGCCAAATCACGATCTGCATGCCCTCAAATTCTTCGTTATTTGAGCATATCGTGGGACATGAACTTGAGGGTTTGTAAAAAAATATGGGAGGAAGCCGTGCACAGGACTGTGAGCTTGTAGTTCTGTGCAATGTAGATGAAATCAGAGTCCTAAAAGCGCTTTATTTTGCCATGGAGTGTAGGCGTCGGTTTTCAAAATGACGATGGGCTTCAGGACTACTTTAAGGGGTGATCATCTTCGGATGGAAATTTCTCCTAAAAGTCACCAGTTAACCCCCCCCCCCCCGAAAATTGAAAAGAAAATGAAAGATGATGAAATTGGCTTTAATTTGATGTGTGTCTCGAAGGGGTCCGCGCAACCCCCAACAAAATAAAGGCCCATAAGTCCGACGCCTCATAGGTCCGACGCCTCATAAGTCCGAAATTTCGGACTTCTGAGGCGTCGGACATAATTATGAGGCGTCGGACTTACGATATGGCCCCGTCTCAAATACCTTGGAGAGTTGTGAGTATTTTTCCTGAATTTTTGAAGTGGGGCATTTATCATTGGGGTCTATGGCAGTTTATTTACTGGTCTGCAAAAAGTGCGGTGTATTATTTAATCAGAAAAATAATTTCAACTAAAACTTTGCCAGCTCGTTATTATGGCCCATTTTCGGACGACACCTGATGTAAATTGCTTTAAAGGTAATATTCAACGTTTGCTTTTGCTGTAATTTTCAGAAATGGATGGATTTGGGGTCAGTATTTTATAGCAAATACTGTTACACTTCTTGCAGTCTGGTACCCTGACCCTGCTTCAGACAAAACGGAGCAATATACAGATGTTGGGGAATAGTCAGGTCAGGGAACCAGACTAGCTGGCTTGCGCCCGTTCACGGATGTGTAACCGATTGCCAACAAAATGTGGACTAACTGAATTTTAATAAAATTGGGGGCAGTATTTGAAGAAAACAAATGTTTGTTTTTTCCAAAGTTGGTTGGCCGACCATCAAAAAAAAAAGCTTTTCTTGAAAATGACAGCACACCAGGTGCCATGATTTCATAGGATGCTTGAGACTATATTATTCTACAGTCAAGTAAGATATTTCACGATAATTTGGAGGCTCAAGAGACTTTTTGATTTTTGCAAATGTATATTTACCTTTAAATCACATAAACCGGCCGTATTCCTACCTCCATGCATGAATTAATGACACTTTGCATGGAAATTGCGTCCTTGCAAATTTTATAGTGAATAATTATTCACAACTATATAATAAACCGGCAAAATTAGGCCATCGCGCCTATTACTAAAGACATCCATACAAACAGTACCACTGAAATGGCATCCTCTCATGATGATACAAAAAAAAAGGATTAAGAATATTCAATAAACCAAACTGAATATCTTAACACACATCATAAACGCTCGGTTGGCAAAATTCCAATCAAATATTGGTGGTTTAGCACGCGAACGGTTGTCATTTTTTGCACTCGCAAAAACCCTTTGAAGTTGCCGGCGGCTACCGACAAAGGCCGCAACTTCATAGGTGACTGAAACTGTCGGTCGTAATCTCCACAGATCATAATTGCTCATTTTCCTAAAGCAGCCATTCTCATTCCCGGCTGCGGCGGAGAAAACTCAATAAAAAAAATATAAAAAAAAACATAAAAAAACTCAAGTGACGTGGTGAAAAATCCACCATACAATCGACGGTTTAGCCAAAGGCGTATTGTTGGTGTTGGAACGGGAACTCCCTCTAATCCCGATCATCCAGTCCGCTGTTGTGTTTATTCATTCCCTTAAAAATCGTACTCGGGCCTCTTTTGTTGGGCCTCGCAGGCCATGAACTGCCGCGGTTTTTCTTCTTGCTTTTCCTTTCGGTTTTTTTTTTTTATGGCCGATATGCTGGAAAGAGATAAAAACCGGCGCGGCAAAGCGGACCTGCTTGTCGGCGGCAACATCACACGGCGCGGGCTGTTTTTATTAGCCGTGATAAATGATTAACGTCGGTCGTCCGTCCGCCTGTGTGAGTGAATGGCGGTCACAATGCATTATTATTATGCAGGAGGGTAGAGTGCATTTCTAGCAGCGGAAGCTACACGGATAGCAGCAGCTATATAGCTTGGATTACTGAATGTAGGTACTAGTATCAGCAGCGAGCGGTAGCCGTGTTAATCGTAATACCACAAGGGGTATACTTTGCCAAGAATTTCCCTTGCTTGGCAGAAAATACACGTACGCCGAGTGCAGCATGTGCCTCGTATTGTATTTGCCTTCGAATGGTTGTGTTGTATTTTTTTTTATAAGTCCATTCATAAATAGGCCTATGGTCATAATTCCCGAACTATAGGGTTACACATGCAGTTGGAAATGTGAACCACAAAAAAAAGATGAGCATTTACCAGTCGAAAAGTCGAGTTACACTTATGGTTGTCGGTTTTTTTTTTTTTAAGAAGAAATGTTCTGTTCAAAATGGTTTCTCCCGCTATCCCTCTAAATCATGGTTTATCTCGCAATGCTAGCTACCATAACACATAAACCCTGGCAGTAAATCCTTGGCCAGCGGTCCCGTGTTTTTACGACATGGTTGTATAACCTTATTACGACAATGATGGCCCATCCATTCTGCAGGAGAATTGTCAGTTGGATGCTTTTAATTCTGGATTAGAAACCGTTATGGTAGAGCGCGGTTCCGCTTTTGGCACCATCAAAACACTTTTACAGGCGTGTTTGCCCGATACTTCGCGTCTTTTACCGACCTCTCGATGTTCGAAACACGGTTTATCGACTTCGGTTTTTACCTCCAGACCCAGCGGCTTAAAAAAAAAAGTCTGGAAAAAAATGCAACCCTACGAGGCAATTTGGCTCATTTAAACAGGCGCCGACTTGGCTTGCACGGAGGCCCGCAGTTGACCGGACCCCGACCCAGCACGGTCAACGGCAAATTAATTCGTCGGGTGATTTGAATGGAAGCGGCAGGGGCTATTTATTCCGGCTATACATGTACCGTACGTATACGGCTTCAGTTTATGTAGGCCTTTACACCGCACGCATCACATGCATTGAACAGACTGAAGACCGGCATTTAGGCGTTCAGGTTTCAGGACGGGCCCATTAAAAAGGCTGTACGGAGAATCCTTGAATTGGAGTCCGTTTGTTTTGCACAATTCATCAATTTGCCCTTCTCATTGCGCCAAGAGTAAGTACATGAGTGATGCAGTGAATCATTTTGAAGCGGTCTTTTTTCCCCTTCTCTTTTACCATCGAGCTTTGCCTTTCACGCAACGTTGACCCGCTGGACTTCCGCGCGGTCCTTTCTCTCTGTGTGCCTGGCGCTAGAATGCCGAATGCCCTCAGGGATTAGAATCTTCCATTTGCCGAAATGGGAGTGAGTCATTTAACTTGCCCTATATTCAACCAAGGACAATCAAGCCTCACTAATGTAGCGGCTTTAATATCATGAGTACGAAATAAAATTGGGCTTAAAAAACACCGAGTTGTGAATAAATGGAATGATAATCGATTCCATGTCCCAATTATTTCGCTTTCTCAAATTATTATAAAGAAAGGTTGCCAGACCGACTTAATAATCTCCCCTATTTTGCGAATGAGCATTACCGTCGGCCTAAAGTCAGCTCTGTTCTGATTGGTGCGGCTTCTCCTTTGAGGAAACGTCACTGCCCTTTGGGAGCCATCGGGCGGCGGGCATGTGCTTTGATGTGTTGCACTTTGAAACACACAGAAAAAACTTCTCGCTTTCGAAGACGCTACCCCGAAAGTGGAGGTCAGAACAAGTCTGCTTTACTCCCGAAATTTCAGGGCTTTTGGAGTGGTATTCCTTGCTCCAGACCCTTGCTTGGACGGAACACGGGTTGTCTTCACGAACTCTTTGGATGATAAACGCACTGGTTGATGGCTGATCAGCGTTTGGGGTGAGTGAATGAACGCTTTGTTGACTGTGCAGTGGTGGGGGATTACTGCCCGGCATGCATGCTGTATGCATTTACCAAAGGGGCCAACTTGCCGTGTTCAACGGTCATGCATGTACGATCGGGGGGAAAAATTCTCGCATGGCGGTTATCGGGCATAAAGCGCTTGTTGATAGCTACACTGTAGGCCGGCAGTCCATGGCCGAGCAGGGATAGATTAGCCAGAATTGGGGATAATTTGCCGCGTTTTGAGTTGGCTGGGAACATGTTAAACCATGGCTGTTTCGATTCGGACTTGGCACACATGAAGCCTAATCTACAGCGTGTTGTGTCAATGAGTGTGGCGGCGCGGTACCGGCACGGTACGGTGAGTATGCATGGTTATTCCGTACATGTACATGTGAATTTGTCATGTTGGTGAACACGTTGATGATGTGTTTTGCACATGTTCAAACTGTGAATTCTCCATAATGTAGAGTGTGGATCATGGTTATGCGACTGATTTGAACACACTGAGTTGTGATATGAGACAAAGAAGGTATGTGGTTTTCAACTTCAAGTCGTACACGCTGAACCGTGGATTTTGCTTACTCAAAAACTGCATTATTTATGATGCATTGTGGGCTATCCGAGAGGAATCAATGAAGTCGCCATCTACACTTTTCTTTTCTTCGCTCAACTTTTCTTAAGCATAATTATTATTCAAAGGAGAGACGTACACATATAAACTGGACGAAAAAATATCCCCCCAAAATTATTTATGTACACATATTCTGTATAATTTAAAGTACTTTCTTCTAGATTAATTTTGTGAGATCAGCATTTATTATGTAGTGCTTACAGCAATGCTCGACAGTATGGTCACAATTTGGATGTTGTGTTGGATCAAATAGTTCGGCATGAACTAGGTTAACTTTCTAGTTCAATGTCTATCTCTTGTATTTATTCAAGTAACAAAATAAGTAGTTAATCAGTGTGATATTTCATGTGCATTTTGCTTAAATAAAAGGGAATAAATTGAATTTAAAAAAAATTGTGAATTAAACCAATTAGCCTCATGTACATGCTATTGGCACACGGTGTTCACCAAAGGCTCGTTCCTATTGTACATGTATGCAGGCGCCAAAACCATTGTGACAAAACTCTTGCGACAATGTTTCCTAATCATTGATACTTTAAAGATACGCTGACAGAACATCACAAAGGCCCAAATAAAAACACCCAACCACTTTGCCCAACTGTACTACCTTAATCGACCTTGGCTTCCTCATCCGCACAAACAGTCGTCAGCCGGATCATACTGCAGCAGCGGACTTACTGGAGGAAACACTGCACCTCCAAACATGCCGAATAAATTACGGGTGCAGTTTACCCCGTCCAGCGCAGGCCTGGAGTATCTGATTCGATTTTGCTTCCTGACCAAGTTCAGATGAATATCGAGATACCTAAGGATGATTGTGGCCATTGTAATCATTTCACCCATGTTTTCCATTACAGCACAGATCAAAAAATAAATATTGAATTGTGTGGAAACGTAACACTAGCATGATACGTGAGACTGCTCAGTTATGCGTAATAAGTGGGCCAATGCTTTACAGGAGCAATTTTGAAAATAATACCTCGCATTATAATTTAGGAATTCTGACGACTGCGTATCACATGGACAAGGCTTTTTTTCCTTTCTGAGTACTAGCTCTACGGACGTGTAGCCTACAGGACTCACTGCTCCTCGGTGGAAACCAAAGACATATTACGACTTGATCAAATCAGACCTTGATCAGCCACACAAGTCATTGCTCTTGCCCGCAGGCCCAGAGTTTTATTTCTGAATTAAGTCGGGAGATGCCTGCGAGATGACCTTGTGCCAGGGATTAAAGTGGTTTCTAGCTGGCAGACTCCCATCAAATTTCCTGCGTTATGCACAATGTGAAGGACAAAGTGGAATGTGGATTGCCGACGAGTTCATGTTTAATTAGTCTGTTGGAGAGTGTTATGAAAGAGACTGTGGACGCGAAATAGACCTAATTATTATAGGTTGGAAAAAAAATACTGACCGCAATCTGATGTGAGTTTCTAATTGAAGCAGCAGCGAAAGCGATCAGTGGCCAATTTTCGTTGGGCTGCTGTTTTTTATTTCAAATTTCCGTGTTTAGCAGCGCTGCGAATTCAGCCCATGGTGGACTTTAATTACGGAGTGTTGATTGTCTTTGCATGGCAAAACCATTTTCCCGGACAGTTTTAGAGGTGTTGAGGTTTAGGGATGAGGGGGGAAGTAGAGCTCATTTCACACTCATCAGTCAATTTGTCTGTTGAAATCCGCCCTGGGAGTTCTTGCAGTGACCTCAGTCATTGCATTTGTGCTGCCCGGGTGAGCTCTAACACGCACTGGTTGTCACAGTAATATCGGCAGTTCAAAATATTACTCTCGGGTAATTGTCCTAGACTTCAATGCGGGTAAAATATATGGGAGCTAGCTTATCCCAAAGCACGTTTGATATTTAGAACACGATTTTGGGAAGGTTTTTGTCTCGTTCATAAAAAAGAAATGAAATTCAGTGTTGATACAGTGGCCAGGATATGCAGGATTTCATGTGTAAAAGTATATTTGTTGGAAATATTTATGAGAAGGCTGCCTACATACAATCCATAAGTTTTGTGTGCCTTTGTAAAATGAACTGATTGAGGAGTTTCTCTAAAATATTAGGTTAATGTCACAAACTGTTGTTTAAACTTAGGACCTGGATGTAAACATACCAGGTACATATATAAGAATTATAAAACTTCTATTTTTGTTTGGATGGTTGTGCAGAGCTCCAACATGGCCATTTTGTGATTGCTGGCTTGTACTGCATAAGTGCATAGATGGATCCCTTTTTACATTATACATGTAGCTGGGGCATGTGGTGATGTGTGCAGTGTGCCCAAATTCCTGAGTGTTACATAACAGGGCCCTATTCATTCTGGCAGGCACACTCTTGGGTACACTCAAGCTAGCTCCATTACCATTTGCATATGGGATTATTCATTAACATAATTCTTTGTCTCTTCTGTTGTTGCAGGTCCATTCAGCGGGTGAGCTGTCTCAATAGGAGTTGTGCATAGTTGGCTGGTCATCTATTGAGCAAAGTGGCCCAGCGCAGTGTGGGAAGGTACCCCCTCTGAATAGGCGGCTGAATGAAGGTTCTTGTTGTGCTGGTTTCATCGCTGTGTCGGCATCCCTGCTGAGATTTTTCTCTGCGGTGAATGAAATACACTTTTGTCGCTGGGAGAAGCTTAAAACTTTGCCGACAACTCATGCCGTCGACTGGCAGCAGGCTGAAACGTGCGCATTCCCCGGCGCCATGACACTTCAGGTATACCACTACATGGCAGATTGTGGTGGAAACTTCACGGAGAACCTGCCCACTAGCCAACGGCCGCCCGTGCCCGGTGAGGAAAATGAAACGGCATCGACGGGTCCCGCCGGCATCAGCAAGGAACGGTCACCTTCAGCCACGCCACGTCGGTCCACGCTCGTGGCAAACATGAAGGCCGGACTCAGAGGAGATATGGACGAGGATGAAGCCCCGTTGGGGTTTGAACCTGAGGGGTCGGCATCGACCACCCCACCTTACACGCGCTGGACGGAGAGTCTGCACGCCTTGCTTTCTGACGAAGATGGGATTTGCCTATTCAAGCAGTTCCTGGTGCAGGAAAAGGCCCAGGACCCGCTCTTGTTTTGGCTGGCAACAGAGGGTTTCAAGAAGAAATCGGCAGACGACCCCAAGCGAAATGAACTAGCTAAGGTCATCTACAAGAAGTTTGTGAAAGCGGATGGACAACAAGTGGTCAAGCTTTCCTCAGCGTTGAGAACTAACATCGCAGGAATGGTGCGTAGCTCAGTGTTTGACGAGACCTTGTTTGATACAGCTCAGGCGGAGGTGGAGGAACACATCCGGGAGTCGACCTACCCGATGTTCCTCAAGTCCGATTTATACGTGCAATACATAAACAATGGTGGAATTAGCCCCAAGAGTAGCGAGTGCAGCTCCAGTGGGGGCAACTCCAGGATTACAGGGTACCTGCCGACGTTGCCAGAGGATGCGGAACTAACGGACATCCCAAGCGGAGACGCTGCTGCCACCAATCAGGGACAGGTACCTCTCACCATGGAGATGCTCATGAAGACATCATTTCATCGCCATGGTACGAGTAAGACGCAGGAAGGGTAAGTGTCATTTTCTCCAGTCGCCTTTGTGAGACATAATGGACACAATGAGGGCGCTGTTTGGAGCGGTCAAATGCGAACGCAGTTTACCTATGAAGGGCCCTCCTGTTGTGTATCCCCTATCTCAAAAAAGGCCATGTAATGTTAAGCATTCCTGCAATTTCATTTTGTGGAGAAGCATCCAGGCCTTGAGAGAGTTATTCAAGGCAAATGTGCTAACCCCATGCCAGTTCATGGATGCTGTCATCTCCGCTTAAACAGCACATTTGACGCAAAGCACGCGTATGGGCAAAATGATATAGCATGCCAATTTGCCGAACCTCTACTCTCCGGCCCTGGGATACATTACATGGCCGGTTTTTTTTATGGGACCGTGATATTTCAGTATCTGCAGATGGTGCTTCATATGAATTCAGCTATGTTTGGAAGTCACTTCTGGCCAAAAGAAAATGTCTGGCGTATTTTGTTGAGACTTTCTCCTACTTGAGGGGTTTTATGTTAACAAACTTGTTCTGATATTCCTGCAAGGGTGAAAATGTACATGTACGTGTAGCCTTTGTTGGGCACACCCAACTTGCTGACTGCTAGATGTCATGTTTTGCCGGGACTGGCTCCCATCCTTCTGCGAGATAATTCACTGGGATTATGGAAAGAAGGAAATTGCCCTTTAGGTGATAAATTAAGTGAAAAACAAACAGCAGCCCCGCTCCATTTATGCCGGGTGTTTATTCCATTGACTTAGGAGGTGTATGTGTGTTTACGAGGATGTTTACATGCACTTGAACAATTTATATCCCTGGGTTCAAACAAGTTCAGTGCTGAGCCTACCTTTCTCGGAGTGCACACACATGGCACGTTTGGGCTTCTCACACATGGCGTAGATATTTTATGGCTTTGTGTGCAAAACATTTATATATCTGGTTTATGTTCAGTTTTTTGGGGCATTGTCCAGTCGGGGAAAAACAGTCGGATTTAATTAAATCTTTAAAGGGGTAGTGAGAAAATTATCTCTAGATCCCGACTTCTTTTTTCAAACTAATTTTTTTGTCTTAAAAATTTTAGTCACTGCAAATTGTATGTGTACCTGTACATGTACATGTAGATAAATTTATATTCAGAGCATAAATTTCCTCAGAGTGAAGTTCTACCTGAAGTCGTTTTTTTTTGTGGGTTTTTTTTTTGGGGGGGGGGGGAGGGGAGGGGTGTGCAGAATGACTGAAGGGATTTAGGTGAAATTTATTTTGATACAAACTTTGCACAAGTCCGCATTATCATAATATGTGAATACAAAGTGCAACCCGAGTTTTTCATTTACTGCACGTAGCCCAGCATATGGCCGGGTCGGTTGTTAGAGTTGCTGCACAATTACGACATGTCCGGCAGAATAAATTTTCTGTAGCGAGTAACCTTTGTTTCATGATAAGGTACAAGTAGCCAAACATTACTCCGATATCTGGGCCATTGTTTACCTTGCTTGATAATCCATGTAAGGCACCTATCTGCGGGCACTGCCTAGCGACCTCACACACACACTTGAACTATTGGACTCCGAAATCCTTCCTGTTTTTTTCTCGATTTATTTTTGTTTAATAATTTGTGTACCCGTTCATGTAATTTTGTTATTTTGCATTACATGTGTACTAGAAAGAACAATGTGATTACGGTATGTGTGTGTAACATGTACAGAAAGTGAATACACATGAATGAATGACTGTGTATTATGTGGATATCACCTCGTGTTTATCCACAGCGTACGCCAACATTAAATTCATAAAACTGCAACTGCACAAACAAAATGGTGGGCCATGGCGCCAGTAGACAGATAACACGTGCATACACCCTCTTTGCAAGTGAATTTTTTTATTTTCTTTTTAAGAAGCATGTATACATGACCATTGCAATTCAACGCAGGCATTTTGATCGTCTTATCTTACATTCGGGCAGTGCATGCAAATGCCTCCCAGGAAGCTGGTTGGATTGTGACTCACAGAATCAATTACATTGTATGTTTGCTGCAGATGCGCTGAATTTAAAGGTATAGACCATTATCATGTTGCAGCCATTTGATTTTTTTTCCCCATTCAAATCCATGTAACCAAATCGAGGCTGGAGGAAAAATAGTCTGGTTCCTTTTTTTGCACAAAAACGTTATCGTTCAGTACTGTCATTGGATACAGGGAACCTGACTAAGATGGTGGAAGCGTGATATAGGTTTATAGACCTTTATCATGCTGCCACCATTTCAGTCATGTTTCCTGTATCCAATAACAGTACTGAATTATAAGGTTTTTGTGCAAAAAGGAACCAGACTATTTTTTTCTTCCAGCCTCGCTTTGGTTGACATGGATTTGAATGGGAAAAGATCAAGATGGCGGCAACATGATAATGGTCTATTATAAAACATTTTGCCTTTTCTGAATTAATATGCAGCAATGGATCATTCGGGGGCTAGTGTTTTAAAGCACATATTGTTACGCTGACCTGTTTTAAGTTTTGTGTGCGTGGATGCTGGAAAAACTAAAGGAAAAATTGCTGTTCTTGTAGTCTGGTTCCTGCTTCCCCGACTCCTACCGTACTTCAGAGAAAACAGCAATTTATAGACGTCGGGAAGTGTCAGGTCAGGGAACCAGACTAGCTGGCTTGCACCCCTTCCTGGTGTAACCGATTGCAAACAAAATATGGACTAACTAAATTTGGTAAATTGGGGGCAGAGTTTGAAGGGGGGAAAAAAAAATCACTTTTTCAATTTTTCCAACGATGGTCAGCCGACCATCGTTGGAAATATTGAAAAAGTGATTTTTTGTTCCCCCTTCAAACTCTGCCCCCAACGATTGTCAGCCGACCATCGTTGGAAAATGATAACAAAATTTGACCATTCTTGAAAATGACAGCATACCAGGTGCCATTATTTCACAGGATGCTTGAGACAATTATTCACTTGCAGTCAAGTAAGCTATTTCGTAATAATTTGATAGTTTTGTTATTTGATGTTTGCAAATGTTGTATGTTACCTTTAAGCATTCTGCATCAAACAGAGGAGTGGCGTGTATAAACTGGCGACCTCCTTGTCCATACGGATACATGTGGCTCTGAATTTTCAAAACTTATACTGGTGGTATAGTTTGGGGCTGTGTTAGTCCAGCTTCATTAAATTAATTAAACCGGCCCACTTCATACAAACTATGCGGACATCCGCAGTAGCAATAAAAACTCTACAATCGTTCACTTTGCAATTATGACTTGTTTAGAAATAAAGTGTCCCTTTGATCAGGAAGAAATTTACTCTAACAGTTAAATTCATTTCTTCGGGTTCCTATTCGAAAACACATCTAACTGAAATCTTTGCACTCATAAAAAAGGGACATTTCATATAATGTCTTCAGATGGCCCATAAACTGCCCCAACTATTGGCATCGGCACCAACTGGAATGTAGAAAAAAGAACTGGTCATTTTAGTTAAACGAAAGGCCACAGACAAATAAAATAACTCACAAAAGATCAGCGGATAATAAAAAGCGAGGCCGTAAAACTGCCGGGCCATAAAGTTTCCCTGCAACTACCTTGAAATGGCCCCCTGCATTAAATGAGATAGCAAATGGTGGCCAGTCCATTGAACTGATTGAATAATACTGCTTCTTGGCCCAGGATGTATTATGAGGTCCGCAATTGCAGGCAATAAACCCAATGCAGTGTAATTGCATTGTCTGGCCCCTAGTGGTTCCCAGTTAAGTTTGTCTAGAGTTAATTTTAAGTGCTTTTCATTCTCTGATGGAATAAATTCCCCTTTTTTGGGGGGGAGGTTGTTGCCATCAAGGCCGAATCAACAAGCCCGGTGCACTGCAATTCAGGAAACTGGGTCTGCTCTTCCAACATTCAGAACGTGTGCACCGTGCATAGGATTTTGTGGGGTTTTTTTGGTTAAATCTGCCCAGCGCCAAAAAAAAAAGAAGCAGCGTCAGTGCTGGGAAGTCAATGTGGAGATATACTGGTGGGTTGCTTTTGCAATTACGGAGGGCACATAGCGCGGATGGTTCCCCTCGACCTTACTGACCCAGCCAGTTAAAGCCAATCTCTTTTGAGCCAAGAAACCTGAATTCCCATGTTGCGATTTCTGCCATCTGCGCTATGCATAATCAGTCCGCAGCTAGCAGCTTGCCTGTTATGTTCTACAATGAAACTTTGTCCCTACAGCTTCTCTCCCCCCCCCCCCAAGTGCTTGTGTGGCAAGAAGGCCAGCGAGCGATAAGAAGGGGGGACCTTGAAGGGACAAAGCCCAGTTCTTGCTTCACTTCAGGGAAAGCTGGCCCCCTCGGTCTCTCCTGGGATCACAACCAATTAGGGACAGCCGAGAATAGGCTGGAGAAATTGTTAATTTCAAGTCTGTATTTCCACTATGTATCATGATTGATATCGTGGAGAGTCAGGGACCTAGGTCTGTGATAGTGATCACTAAAAAAAAAAAGTTCTACCAATTAAATTAACTGGATGTGACCTTAAAATTTAATGTTCATCCCTGTTAAGTGTTATGCCTGTGAGTGTGAACCTGTTTTTGCCCCAAACACATGTCTGAAACTACGGCATAAACTCTCAATTGAAGAAGATTTTGGCTTTGACGATCAGAAAAACAGGCCATGTGATTACCCTTCATACTGTAATGCATGTAGGCCCCCATTATGAACACAAATTCCACACTAAAACAATTTTTTGTAGAACTGCTGGAAAATTGCTGTAGAAAATGAATCCAGCGTTTGGAATGGAGGGATCATGTACAGATTCAGCCACTTATTACTGCCTCCTGGAAGGCCAGTATTGAATTCAAGGGGAGGTCAAGGGTCAGGGTCTAAGAGGGCAGCACTTAGCCATTAGCTTCTGCAGGATATATATCTGAGTTTAGGAGGCCGGGGAGGTTCTGGGTTTGGGATTTCCAGTCTTTTATTGGTAAACTGCATGGGACATTATTATAATTAAAAAATGAAATCAGTACTCATATTCCCCTCATTAGGTTTAAACCCTCCTGCTGTTTGAACAGCCACAAACAGTCAAAAAATCAATCCCCTTCCCCTGCCATGCCTTTTACGCAGGCAAGTCACCAACAGTCAGATCATATTTTAAGCAAGCACCGTGACAAGTCAAATTTGGTCAACAGACAAAAACAGACAGGAAGTAGGCACAGCTGGCTTACCAATCACTTACAGTCAAAGCATATCAGGTTACATAAATAGTCATAGCCAGCCAATACTGCTTAGCTCTTAAATGTTGAAAACAGTGACTTGATTTTGACTGCAAGGACAACTTGGCATAGAATGTATGTTTGCATACATCTATGGAGGGTTAATAATATTAAAACCTTGAATACACGTAAACCAAGTGAATGAAATGATTGAGGCATTTGCATATTTTTAGGGGAATTCCAATTTTGCGGAACTGATAAGCACAGAAAATATTTACTTAGCAAAATCGAGTTACCAGTCAAAAGTGTCATGCAAAGTGTTTTGCTTGTCACTGGTACCTGGTTGATTTTTGCTTAGCACACAAAATTGATATAAGCAGCATTTTCTGCAAAGCAGCTTCATGGAAATTGGATCCCGATTTCAAAACCAGACCAAAAAAATCTTGAGAGTCATCCGTCAATTCATCACTTTTTTAAGCCACCAACGCTGCACTCCTGCACAGATTTTAATATTAAATACATGAAAATCACATGCAAGTTTTAGACTGGACTGTTTATCCCCTGCCCGGCGATCGCAGTATTTATCAGGGGAGGAGGTTCTTAATAACTGGAGGCACAGATGCCCGATAGATCAGCAAGTCCCAGTAGTAATGACCCACTGGCCATGTCTTGTAATTGCGCCCTGAGTTGAGAGAGATACAAAGCTGCCACCATGAAAGGGCCCCCTCCTGATAAGCATATTCTCAGGTTAATGGCATATCCTGCCGTTGACATCAGCTACAAAACATTGTAGACAAAATGTACATGTATGTGCAATTTCCAAAAAAGAAAGAAAAGATGTTACATACATGTAGGCTCTACATACATGTCATTTCTTTAAAACAATAGGAATTTCAGCTTTGCCATTTGCTCCTCCGATAGGATCTTATAAATACCCTGGTACCTGTAGTTCAGTTGAATTGTTGAATGGAAAAGACAAAATATCACCTCAATCAAAGATGGCGCATATAACACATCACATAGCCAAGCTGTGGAGCTGTACGTGTACACATACAAATTACGTATGTATACAAGCATGTAAATGTACGAACACTTGCACTGGTAATCTGCTGTAACACGTGTACAGCCTACATGTACATGGACATGTGTATACAAAGTACATAAATAATGTGGAAAGAGCATCTCTATTCACTGGTACCCGGTATCCACATGTATTGTACGTGTACCTTGTAGGCATACATGTATGTTCATGATGTACATGTACATTGCACATGTAAGTATGCATGCACTTTGTTTAACATTTGGCCATCCACCTCTGTGTACACACACTGTTCAAATATGAAGACATTAACATCAACTCATCACGATGCATTATATACATGAAACCGGACTAGCCACCTCGAACCAATCCATTTCACTGAACAAATCAATTTACCGCCCCCCCCCCCTGAAAGCACTGTCATGTGTCGAATGCATTGCTTTTAAAATGAACATAGTGACACATAAGTCCAGCAGTCGCCCTTGGTCTTTATTACGGTACATGATGGCAGGTCGGCAAAAGATCAAAGCTTCACACGTCCACAAGGAGATGATTGTTGTTGTGTTACATGTCGGTCATGGGAGTCCAAGGCTGTTACTGCAGTAATTGTTTGAGTGCACTTTGTCAGTAATGTTCTTTATCTCTTCAGTGATTTGTACTGTACATGTATGTATGGGTACAGTGCGTAATATACATTGTAGATGTACCCTACAGACAATCTGTCATCTTAAAAGTCGATGGGAAATACAACTCACTTTGGAACATACATGTACAGTCGAATCTCGTTAGTACAAACTCTGTTAATACGAAATTCTGGTTATAACAAACATAAAGCCTTAATCCCGACTGTGGATTTATGTGCACAATGAATGGGACTGATGTTCCTCTTAATACAAAATTCTGATATAACAAACAATTTGGCTAGGTCCGAACAAGTTTGTATTAACGAGACTCGACTGTACATGTCTTGAAGTGGATTTCTTGTATTCGTCCTTTAACCAGGCATGCAACTTTTTCCTCGGATCAGCTGATTTCCTCGTGTGTCACTTCACACTCATGCCATTAAAAAACGGAAAAACACTGTACAAAGTCTTGTGAAGATTGGAGTTTCCTCTTTTTTTTGTCACAAGTTTCCAAGTTGCATGCCTGTTTAACGTTCTTGTCGTTTGCCGAGTTGCCGTGCCTCTCAAGAAAATTAGAAACAAGATAATGTATTAGCTGTAATGCAGCGTTAGCTTTGATTATAATATTATTAAAAATAACTGCAGTTTTGTGTGCAATTGCAACGCACCAAGAATGCTCCAGGTTCTTTTGAAATTAAGATTGATTTTTTCCCCTCTTTTGGTGCGTATCCATGGAAGTCAATGGGATAGAAAGCCAGATGTTGCCATGACGTCATTTCATGGATATTTACTTCTCAATGTCTCTGCGGGTAGAGAGAGAGACGAAGTGTAGAGAGAACGTCCATCTTAGCAAGAGCCGTTGACCTTTTTTTGTGTTTTGTTGGTCCATTCAGCAATTGGTTCCCATCCATTTTTGCCCTTCCCTGGCCTCCCCTGCTCAGCCAACCACACACTTTGACAATGCACGCTATCCACTATCCCTGAGTGAAATCGGCCTCCCGTGTAGGGCACGGGACAATTTTTTTTTTTTTTTTTTTTTTTCTCCTTTTTTTTTTCTTCTTCATCCGTGGCACTGGTGATGTGCGTTCAGCACTGACTGTGCCGAGGACTGGTGTCCCACTGGGCAGCTAGTGTGGCCGAAAAATTGTGTTGATCTAAGCCTTACTGGGTACAAAACTGGCAAATGGCCCCAGCCGCAGAAAGTGTGAAAGTGCTGCGAACTTGCGCCAGAACCGGGGCCTTCCGGTTAATGACCAAAAAGTGATTTTTGTCACCTGAATATCAGACTCTGTAGAGTGGGCCCCGACTTAAATGAAAATTGTTGAAAGGTGTTCGGTGTTATGCTGTTGTAAGAGATGTCCAGATCATGATATTCACAATGCACCGGTACACGTGCGTAATGAATTTTTGTGGTAATTGTTCAAAATAAATAATTAAGACATGTACCGGCATGTGTGTGTATGTAGAAAATAAAGTAAACGCATGTATACATGCATGTCAATGACATTTGTTGTAAGCCTATGTTGCAGTGGCATAGCAAGGTCATTTTTATTTGGGGGGTTTAAAAATTTCTTGAAAAGGACACTTGCACATCCGTGCTGAAATGCAGACACATTTTTCTTTCTGGACACTTTGCCTCCGTAAAATCAAATAGGGAGGGGGGGGGGGCTGGTACCATTTGTTGATGCGGGTGCTGTTCAAAACCCACGATTATGCACAGTAATGCACAATATCTGGTGCTTTTCAGGGCAATAGATGAGCGAAATTCAAAAAGCACCCGTAACGGCCGATGGCACAAAAAGGCCATGATTTTTTTTTGTATAGCTAAGAACAGAAGGGCACTCTTTACAAATATTTGGGGGGGGGGGGGTTAAGCGCTGGTGAAAAAAAGGGTATTTCAAAAGGGCAGTCTTCACAAAATATTTTTGGAGGTTACCCCTTACCCCCCTCCCCCTCCCTGCTGGCTACGCCTATGACATGTTTACACTGAAGTACACGAGCTTGTACACTGTTTTAAGAGCTCAACTCTATTTCAGCACAGGTTGTGAACCATGTTGACTTTGAGTAATTGTAATACCGGTAGGCATGTAGCGCTAATAAAAGACAGACACGGTTTTCATGGGTGCATGGATCCCAAAAACGAAAATACAATAAGTCCCTGAATGAGTTTAGAGACTCAATCAAGCTTAGATATCAGTCCGCCCGTTTTTTTATGATGTAGTACGCGTGAGAGTGCATATCGATTTCGCACACGTACGCTGACTGAAGACGTGATTTTTTTTTTTTTTCGAGGGAAGTTCCGAGATTCACTGCCAGTTGCAGTAAGTGTGATTTCTCTTGCTTCATTGTGAACCCAGGTGTTACCTGAAAGGAAGCAGCGCCCGTGTGCCGAGTCCCTATCACCCCAGCTTCACGTCTTTCGCGCCAGCTGTATCCACCAACGATTCGGAGCTGCAGAGCTTGTCGAGCGACGCCATTTCGGATGACACCATGTCGCTGACGGACTCCAGTGTGTAAGTACAATGCATTGTCGAAAAAGGGAGGGGCACTTGGCATCCATTGGCTCCCCGTTGAGCGTTGACACGTTAAGCTTTTTTTTTCATAAAAAAAATCTCATAAATCCCTAACTGTGGAGATTTATTTCACCAGTTGCGTTATGTGTAGTTTTGGCAGTGTCACTGCACTGGTATGGTGATAGGTATTTCCTGAAAGGTTTTTTTTACTTGAGCCCTTGTCGTGCACCTGCTTGTTGAATGTACCATAACCTGCAATCATTTCTTTACCATTTTGTCTGTCATGACATTTTTTTTTTTGGTTAACAATTTCAATGGTTTTTTATAGTAATTAATGTGACTTGTCAATTTTGTGAGCGCAGCAGTGATGTCGTGATCGGTAGAGCTTCAGATCAGACCTCAAAAGGTTGCCTGCACTAAAACTGCTTGTGTCAATTAGTCTGCCTGCCTGTGCACATAGTTTGTATTGTATGAAAAGGCTGTGACCTGGGCCAGTTATGTCATCCGGGTTCATTACTACATGAAAGTACAACACTAGGCTTGCTTAAGGCCTTTTCACACTAGACAAATCTCGGGGCTGACACAGGGTTGAAAACATGCAGTGTTTCACACTTGAAAAATGTCAACCCTGCGTCAACCCCGAGATTTATTTCAACCCGGGATTGAACTCAAACCTTGCCAGACCAAGGTCGAGATTTTCTACCCGGGTTGAAATTCTTGCCAGTGTTCGAAGCGGTAGTTGTCAAGTGAAATAAGCTAGGTTTGCCAAAAAACAAACTGTGTGAAACGATGAGGGGTCGAATGCAGGTTGAAAAATAAAAGTCCAACCCAAGGTGGCACTGGGTTCGCCCAGGGTTGAGTTCAACCCGGGTTGAGAGGCTCTAGTGTGAAAAGGGCTTTATCTTAGTCGAACTTGACCTGAAAGTTTGACAGCCTGGTTAGGCAGTTCTGGACATTTGTTAGGCCAAAAAAAAAATTCAATTTAAATCATGCGCGTCGATCATTTTTTTTCTCCAAAATGTTCCGCGGTAGTTCCAACAGCGCCCTCTATTTCCGCACCTCATTTTTTTTTACCAAAGAGCACCAAGGAATGGGAAATTGCACCAAGGCAAATGATCAAAAGCACCAAGGCAAATTATGGAGGTCACCAATGTACATGAGGACACCAAAAAAGCAAAATAGTACCCCACCTTGTCTAGGTACAATCCAAGCTTGAAGATAAAAAAAAAGAGAGAGAAAAAAAAAAAAGCCGCTTTGCCGCCTCAGTTCCGGAACTTTGGTCTGGCCAGAGACCGAATATATATTTTTTTGGCCTTACTGTCATTGACTCGATCAGTCAGTCAGTGACTCAGTCAATCAGTGAGTCAATCAGTTAGGTAGTCTGTCTGTAAGAGAACCCTCAGGACTAGCAAAAAGAACAAATGACGGTAAAAAATAAGGAAACAAAAAATGACCAAAATAAGGTTTACCCAACTGAAACTAAGTTACAATCAAGGCATCTTCTTTTTAAAAATGAAATATGAAGTTTCAAAATGGTGCTTGTAGTGGACAATTAATTCTGCAAGTTGTTTTGAAAATAGCTCACAGGCATCAGGCCCCACAGCCCTTTTTCATGCATCTCCTCCTCCCCCCCCCCTTCCTTCCCTTCGCCATTTGGTTGGATGCATGTGTCGGAGCGAAATGTTTTGATCAGTCAAGCGTTGACCTGTGAGAGGTAAATGTTTGCCGTGGGAGCGCTGAGCCACAATCATCTCCGTGACAGTCCCGTTTCTGGTCGGCTGCCCACTTGTCAGATTATTCCACCCAGGAATGTCGGCCCTGAAGTCGGCTTGCAACATAGAGAGGGTGTTTTTGTTTGTTTGTTTCCCAAAGCCGAACCACCAGACCATGCGTGCATGCATGCCTTATGCCTTTGAGTGTCTGGTGCCGTTCTGTTCTTGGTCCGGACTGAAACTCCTTACAAAACACGCTATTCAAATATCGAGTTGACTTGTTTGGCGCCCTCCACTGAAATGTTTAGTCAGACAAGAAGTACACAGATTTTAATGCTAAAATGTGTAATTTGATTATTTTGTAAAAAAAAAACACCTGAATTTGTTCATCATCAAGACAAGAAACTATACCCAAAAGAATGTGTGAAACCTCCCTAAACCTGCAAAAATCTGTCACTTACTTGAGAACCGGTAGGTTCCGGAATGATTGATGCGGTCTCATTGGTTCAACTCATAGACTTTCTTTTAACAAAATTACAAAACTGAGAATGAAACCTCAAGTTGAATGATATGCCTTATGCACATTTATGTACCTGAATCCATCATTCATGAAAGTACAAAGCCTGGACATTAATTTCAGTAAAGGCCTGCAAGTATAAAAGAGAACAATGACAATTTTGGCAGCCAGAGTAATGTACAGTGCGCACATGCACATACAGTAAGTATGTAGTTCATGTATGCTGACAGGACACTAATACGTGTGTTCAGGGTTTGAATTCAGGAAGGGCAACCAAGGCATTTGGTTGTGATTTAGTGGGGCTTATTAACAGCTAAACCAAAAAAACCCCACAAAATCAAATCAATTTTTCATTATAAATAATGTGTGCTAGAATCTTAATGTTCCTTAGCCCTAACCTTACCAACTCCATCAAAATCCATCCTTCCATTTTGGGGGATTTTGGCAGGTAAGCCATGTGTATACCAAGTCCATCAAAATCCACCAGCACCGGTGGTGGATTTCAACGGATTTGGTCCTGAAGCATAATGCGAAGCCGAGTGAGTGACGGATTTTGAATAGACATGGTCTTCTACTCAGTAAAACTAAGTACAGATGTCCGGGTTAATGCAGGAGAGTATCCTCTCTGGTGCACTTGAAATGCTTGTGTGATCCAGTTGAAGATTCTCTCTGGCCGTCTCATTTTTCAAAACATTACTTTCGCGGCGCGCTCATATTTTATGTGAATAACAGTACTTGGTGTCCCGGCAAGTACAGGTCTAATCCACAGTCATTCCCCAGATATCAGGCTCATCAGCCAGTCCAATTGGCAAAAAAATCCCTCAGAGGTTTGAATGAAGACATTGGAAAGGTTTGCCGACTAAAACGGAGCCTTACCCGGTGACCCAGTTATGATCTTATCACTAAATTGAGGTTTCTTTATCCTGGGAAGTATAATGAAATCAGTGGAGTGCCCCAGGTAGAAATGCAAATCAATGTCTTCCAGACCGGCAACTCATTCAGGGAGAGAGAGAGAGTTGGCATGTTCCAATACAGCACATGAGCACGGACGTAATTCAAAGTGACAATTCGCCTCATCTGCATAAAGAGGTTTTGTTAAGTATTTTGGAGTTTTCTCCTGGGCCGTTCCTGTCTTTTTTTTTAATGTTGATGATAGAACTGCGAGCTTAGTATTGTGTACGTGTAATTGTCACCGTGATCTGAAAGGTTCTATTAAAAAATGAAAATCGGCCAGGCCGTCTGAGCGACTCGCACTTATATTCTATTGTGCAGGCTTTTATCTTGGAATCAAATTTTCATAAAGCAGCAGTCCCTTTGTTCTGCCGCCGTGCTCCCTTTCGCGTGCCGTCAGCCGAGAAATCTGCCGATAAATGTCTATTTGAACATGCCTCCCTGATCAGATTGTCTAGGGGAGAGGCGGCGGCGATTGAAGTTTAGGCCCGGCATGTCCAAACCCTCTGACAGGCTGTTTGTACTGCTTCCCCCTGCTGCCTGCCGCCGCGCTGAGAAACACTGTCAGACTTGCTTGAGATTAAAGCGTGGATGTCGGCGTTGTCTGCTTGTTTTTTTGATCAAGCCCCCCAAAGAGGAGGTCTGCATTTTTGAACTGTAACAGTTGTTGCTCTCGCCCCGCTCAAGAAATTAACTTCCCCGGGTCCCCTGGGGAGAGCCAAGCTAAAGCAAGCCTCCAGTTCAGGAGAGTTGAGAGTTGATTTTTCCGATGTAATTCAATTTGATGGTGGCGGCAAGTGAAACAGAAGGCACCATGTGTGACCAGACAACGCCGTTGGTTTCAAGCTGGGAAAAACGGTGGTCCCGCACGCAGCGGGCCGCAGCTAAACTCGCCCTGCCAATTACCAAATATAACATTGTTACAAACACTGATCGACTCTGGTTTTTCTAAAAGCCTTAAAAGGAAACGGGACTGAATCTGATTGGCTTGTGTCAAGAGATTTCTAAACCAGATTATCGTTTAAAGTTGAGTGGGTGCAACAACGTGGCTGGAATAACGACTCCTAAATCGAATGGATACGTAACAGCTGAGACGAGTGAGAGAGATACACGCAAATGAATTGTTGGAAAGTCCACCAAATATGGTTTTTGGATTCGGATATTTAAACAAAGTATTTACCACGTGGGATACAACAAAATGATGCAGCTTTTAAAATACATTATACTCAAGTTTCTTAGGATTTTATATTTCCTATTTATGCACAACGGTACTTTTAGTTTATTCGTTCTGCAAACCAAAACATCCTGCCCACGCTCTGCAGTCTCTTTTCCTGGACTTGACACACAGTGCAAGTTGCAAGCTGCAGTGTGCTCAACCCGCAGAGTTTCACCACTTCTGTGTTGATACCGTCCTTTCCCTCCTGCAGTCCCGCACAAAAAAACACTCCCCACAAGCCACCTTGTCCAATTGAATAGGCATTTCTGCCAAAGCCGTAGGTGTTAATCCCATCTCAAAGAAAACCTCTTGAAAGAGCCTGCTCTGTGCATCTCATTTGCATGCACAGACAGGGTCTTTTTTTTTTTTTTCTTCTTTCAATAAGAGTGGCTGGAGAGAGTGAGAGATCCCCATCTCTGCCTTTTGGGGGTCCAGTTATTCTTCCCCGATTCTTTTCTTTTGAAGGGCTGCCTACAGGATACTGGAGGTGGCCTCACAAAAGAGCGAGCGGGGGACTTAGCATGCCACTTGACTGAGCCCTAATGCTGGCTGTAATTGGATTATGGGAAACGTTTTTGCAATGAAAGATTCTTGAACTTGGATT